GGCATCTGAAATATGTTTGTTTCCAGGCGAATATGAGAAGGGCAAATGCCATGAGGGAATGCGCTGTTGGATACCATGCTCCGTTAACTACCCCACCTGCAGGAACCTCTCCGACGGCCCCAACGTCTACGAAGATCGCCTCAACTCTACCTACTACGTGGTGTGCGTTAATCAACGACTGGTCTACATTGGCCAGTGCCACTATTTCGGAATGGGGATGCCTATGTTTGACCCCAAATTGCGCGCCTGCAGGTGTTCGTAAAAAATCCGTTGCTTTACAAATCACAATTGCAATGTGAAGTAAAGAATTTCTCAACAATACATGTATCTGTCTGCATGTTTTTAACCCCGGGGTATCCTTACACAAATGTACCCCCAGAGGAAATTGCGTTCACAAGACTCAACCTACCCACTCGATGGCAACTTGCCAATGCCATGAGATGGGGCAAATAATACCAACCCCCCACCCCCCTCTCCATTTGGGACCATTGGGGCCTGGAATTTGTGTTTGGAGTTCAGATAATAATTATGTCGAAACTTTGACCAGACAATCCAATACATAGCATGTTTATGGATTATTTTGGAATTACGTCTGTTGCGTACATGTGCAGAAATCCTGCTGCTGACAAATATAGGGAAATACTTCAGAAACTGTGCAACACACTAGTAAGGGGCAGTCGTAATGTCTCCACCCAAACATGGTCCTTTTAAAAAAAATTGATGAATGCTTCGTTAGTCAAGATTATCTGCCGAAACAGATTCCATTTGAACGAGTGAGTGAGCGAGCGAGCGAGTGAATGAGTGAATCTGGGTCTACGTTATGACACACACTAACATGGACGTATGCACGACCACAGTCATTTTTTCATGAGTTTCATTTGTTCCAAGCAATTAACGATTTTCTCAATAAAATACAGGAGTCTATAGTTTGGAATGAACAGTATATACATGTTTATATACATATGTATGTTTAATACCACAGTCAGCAATATTCCAGATATTTGAGGGTGACTTTGGCGTGCATTAAAATTGCTCAGCTCATTCTTTCAGACGAAACTTTATGACTTTAAGCAGAAACGTTTGTGTCCCCTCCCTCCCCTAATGCTAAATGGTCCTACTAATGCGAATTTATATTTCATAGGGATTTTTCTGATACAACGTGGAAACATGGTATTTTAAAAGATTTGCATGAATTTGGATTGAGGGGCAGATTATCTCAATTCATATTGCAATTTTTAAACAACAGACAATTTCAAGTACTACTTTGGATCTACCCTGTCTGATCATTTCGATCAAGATCAGAGCGTCCCTCAAGGCAGCATACTATCAGTCACCCTTTTCAGCATCAAAATTAGTAGTCTCACTAAAGTATTAAACAATAGCGTTGATGGTTCACTTTTTGTGGACGATTTCAACATTTCTTGTCGTGGTAAGAATATGAATACAATAGAAAGACAACTACAGCTCTGTCTTAACAAAATTCAAAAATGGGCAAACGAAAACGGCTTCAAATTTTCTAAATCCAAAACAAACTGTATTCACTTTTGTCGTAAATACAAACCTCACAAGGATTCAGATGTATTTTTAGATGGTACTCCTATCAAGGTATCATTAAATATCTAAAGGCAAAGTCGTTTTAAATTCCGAGTGGGGCGGCGATCAGGCCACCCTCCTTCACTTGTACAGATCGTTAATACGCTCCAAACTAGACTATGGTTCCATTGTCTATGGTGGAGCCTGCAAAAGCAATTTAGAAAAATTGGACACTCTACACCATCAAGGCCTAAGATTCTGTCTTGGAGCTTTTAGGACCTCTCCCGTGGACAGTTTGTATGTGGAGGCAGATGAACCTTCACTCGAACTGCGCCGCATTAAACCTTCACTGCAATATATCACTAAACTGTACTCAAATAAATGTAATCCAGCATACAACTGTTTTCCACCCTGAATATGAAAACCTGTTTCAAAATCTATTAAACCTGGTCCCACCATTTGGGATCAGAATTCAACCACACATCACTGCATGATGTAAATTGTAATAATCTCAACTTGCAGTTAAATGTAATAACTTTTTACGTAAATTGTAATAATCTTATAAGTTTAGTGTCAAGGGCGTTAAATGACTAAAACCTATCCTTGTCAGGGTTGGTACAGGGTTTATCGTACAATCGTTATTAAAGTATGGGTGTGGGGGAGGATTGAGGTCGTTATCGTACATTGTTGTATAATTATATGTATATATAAACGCATTGGAATTTCATTTCTATGGTTGTCCAGAAGAGGATTAATTACTAGAATGTACTTAGTTTTCTTATATATTTGAGAAATACTCTGTGTGTTTTGTACTCAATTGTAATATATCCTATTGACGATTTTCATCATAATTGTTCATATTTAAACTAATGGAATCATGTTTCAATTGGTAAAGTAGGTAGTAATATACACAATAGAATATTTATAATGTAACAAAGTTACACAAATAAACTGACGTCAAAAAGAAACTTTAGCAACTGAAAATATAAATTTCAGACAAAGTGTAATTTTGTTTTCGATGTAGTCTATCTAAAACACATAACCTAAATACAGCAATAGTGTATGCAGAAAATGTTAATAGTCTGTTACATGTTTGCGAGATAACACGCGAAAAAGTGAAAAACACGTGCACCACGGACAACTGCAAATGCATGTGCGGGTAAGGGTATATAAAACGATTGCAAAGGCAAGTCAGACATCCACAGTGATAAAAAACACAAAAGAAATGCCACGACTCACAGTCGAACAACGTGAACGAGCCTTGGGTATGGTTACAGATGGGAGCCACCCACGCCCATATTGCACGAACCTTCGGTTGCTCCCGTGTTGCCGTTACCAACTTGATGCAACGTTACAGACAGACAGGGCGGACCGCTGACAGGCCAAGAACAGGCAGACCCAGGGTGACCACGCCCCATGATGACCGGTACTTGCGTACCTTGCACCTCCGAAATCGCTTCCTGACAGTAACGTCATCGGCGACAAATGCCTTAGGTCACAGGGTTAGTCGACAGACAGTGGCCAGCAGACTCTGGGCTCATGGAATCAGGGCTTTTAGACCAAACAGAGGACAGCTATTGACAGCGCAACATCGTCGTCTGCGATTGAGATGGACCCGGACTGTACGACGTTGGCAACGACGTGACTGGCAGAGGGTTGTCTTCACTGACGAAAGTCGATTCTGTATGTTTAGGGCTGATGGAAGACAACGTGTTTACCGCCGAGGGGTGAACGAACGGCGGCGTGTTGCGTGCAGGAGGTCGTACCATATGATGGAGGGAGTGTCATGGTGTGGGGAGGGATCTGTGGGCAGGAGAGGACACCGCTGGTCATCGTTGACTGAAACTTAACAGCTCAGCGTTACATGGATAACATTCTTCGTCCAGTTGTCCTACCATTTCTCCAACAGCAGCCACGTGGTGTCATTTTTCAGCATGACAACGCTAGAGCCCATACAGCCAGAATTGTCACTAACTTCCTCGCAGCCAACAACGTCAACCTCCTGCCGTGGCCTGCACGCTCACCCGACATGTCCCCCATAGAACACGTCTGGGACTTGATGGATCGTCGTGTTCGACAACGACCCTTACTCTCCAGCCAACCGGCAAGAACTGATCTTGGCCCTCCAAGAAGAATGGCGTCAAATCCCACGAGACCTCATCAGACGACTGACTTTTTCTGTGTGTCGAAGAGTTTTTGCGTATATTGAGGCATTTGGTGGTCACACACGCTACTAATGACTTGTTATTGAACGTGAGCGATTGTTTATGTACTCTGCCTATTGTCCATGATTCTGAAAGCTCGAGTTTTGTACCACACCCAACTTTGGGGGGCTCTGACGTCATTCTCGGTCGCGGTATGATTGTCATTTTCAGTGTTGATTATGTTGATATATTGATACACTTTACTTCATGCATGTATGTTGTGTTGTTTTTGAGCAATTTGAGTGATTTCAAACTCTGGTAAAGTTTCTTTTGGACGTCAGTTTATATTATAATACGGAGGCTGTGTTTCATATTTGCAACACGTTTATTTGTTTGTTTGTTGTTTATCGCCGCTCTCAGCAATATTCCAGCTATGTGACGGAGGTCTGTAAGTGATCGAATCTAGTCAACAGCACATATCACTGTCGGATTCATCTCACGAGAAGACTGATGTGTTTATTCAATGTAAATATACAGTAGTCATTGAAACAGGAACAGTGAGTGAGTGAGTTGGGTTTAACGCCACTTTTAACAGTATTCCAGTCATATCACGGCGCGTCAGCTTAATGTTGGAGGAAAGCCCGAAGTGATGCAGGTCTCAGACGTTTACCACTTCGGTGAAACCCACGAGCACGGGTGGGGGTGTTTGTTTGTTTGTGTATTTGTTGTTTAACGCCGCACTCAGCAATATATATGATATATGACGGCGGTCTGTAAATAATCGAAACTGGACCAGACAATCCAGTGATTAAAACCATGAGCATCGATCCACGCAATTGGGATATGATGACATGCATCAACCAAGTCAGCGAGCCTGACCACCCGATCCCGTTGGTCGCCCAAAACGACAAGCATAGTCACCTTTAACGGCAAGCATGGGTTGCTGAATATCTATTCTACCCCGGACCATCACGAGTACCGACATGTTTCAATCAGATATTGTAAAAAAAAGTTAAAACAAACTGAAAACAAACCCTGCTGTTAGATTGATGTTACCTTGAGCTGTGTCACGTGATTTGTCACAGACTCGTTTAAACGTCGTAGGAGGCTTCAAGAGATTAATTGTCACATTCAGAAATTCACGTGCAAACTTTTTTCTCCTTGACGGGGTATATGGCATTTATTATCCCACTCAGGAAGTTATTTTCACCCCAGGCGGAATACGTGGTATAATTATCAAGATCACGTGAACCAATCAGATCTCAACATTCATTTATGACATTTATATCCTCTTCTATTTGAAGATTTTGACAAACAGCACTTTATGACAGCTTAAGAATAGTTACTTTAATGCGCAAAAGTCATTTTATATTCTGCCTGCTCTGATAACGGCTGACATTTCCAGAAACTGCCTGTGCTACGTTTAAGAAGCGTGACGCGTATCTCATCACTACCACCAGCAGTGGTCCTGTATCAGACGCAGCCCTGTCAAGGTAAGTTCATACTCATTTTATTTATCATCCAAAACTGGCTCCCACAGGAGATATTGCTTGGATGAGATCAAGCGATATCTACACTGTAGATATCGCTGCAATGAAATTACATCACAATGCTTTGCAGACCATTCTGACGTCACTGTTACCAAGACGTCACAATGAAATGACATCACTAATGGCTCTGCTACTGAAGCTGTTAGCAATACTTTTTACACTGAAGACGCTGCTAATTACTGTCTATAAATTGAAAAAGTTGAAAGAATGATGTTGGATGATAAATAAAATCTCACCCTCGTGTCTTTTGAAAATATATCAACTATTTGATATCAAAAGCCACTCGTGTGAGATTCTCTATATATCAGGCTGAATAAAAATAATAAATTTTATGTATTTATATGGAAAACAAAAGTGGGAGGAACACTATATTATTATGTTCCTACCAAGACTACTGGCCACAAATTGATATAGCTGTGATTTATATCTTCAGCAATTATTTAATGGCAGACTTAGACAAAACAAATGTGAACCATATTTTGACAAAAGGTGTTAGAAATATCCCTGTTTCAACATGCTGCGCCTTGCCCATAAATGTGATCTTTCCCATGTCATAATTATTTACATTGCTAATTGTAATGTTCACAGTAAATGTAAATGGACTCGTCTTGTGAATGAAAAGATAAGAATGTGGAATCTATAATGTACGGTGGCCCATGAGGGACACGGAGTCTGTTTTTCAATATTTTGATATTTCACTTACATTTATCGTAACCTTTTGCAAATTAACATGATTTGTCTTACAAATATGTGATAAATCATGTGTAAAGAAGATATTGAATCGCTGAAAAACGAAACGAAAATGTCAAAAACTAAAATGAAAATGTCAAAAACACAAAATGAAAATGTCAAAAACTGAAATGAATTTTAGTCTTTGACATTTTCACTTCACATTTCAGCGACTCAAAAGCTACTTAAAAGTACATTTTCTATGTTTTCGGATGTTTTTATACATGATTTATCACATATTTGTATGGCAGATTGTGTTAATTTGCAAAAGGTTAAGATAAAAGTAAGTTAAACATCAAAATATTGAAAAACAGACTCCATGTCCCTTATGGGCCACCGTAATAATGCATGCGAGACAAATGTACGACCAACACGATAAGTAAGATACATTAGTATCTCAGGTCAGAAGGACGACACAGGATTTGCCAACTTTGCTTACCCATTCCTTCAATGTTTTGTGTTTTATGTTCTGTCTTATATGATCAAAATGGGATGTTCTATAATAGAATCGCGAGAATGTCAATGCCGAACTGTGGCCCATGACATAGTCAAACATATTTTTATGTTATGTATTCTTAACATGCACAAAAGAAATGAAATATTCGAAAAACAATACTTGATATTACCAATGTGAACTGCTTTGATGATTTTTTTCTAATCTAATTTGTTATTGTATTAAAATATCCGGATCGAGCTTTGAGTAACACCAATCTGCTTAAGATTCAACAACTGAAATTTCGTTTACTCTACATCGACTCCAACATTTAAATGCGTTACTTTTCTTGTTGACAGTTTGGATCTCATCTATAACTCCATGATGTGTGAGTTTAGGGCGTTGTGCTTCTTGATGCTGCTGATTTCCGCCTTGGAATCATGTGAGCAAGATTCCCTTTCTTAGTGATGTTGTGATACGTTGTGTGTGTTGTGTCTGTGTGTGTATAGTATGTGTGTGTTGTGGTTTTTGTTGTTGTTGTATGTGTGTTTTGTGCTATGTTTGTTGTGCTATGTGATGTGTGTTTGTTGTGAGTGTGTGTCTATGTGTGTGTTGTGTTCTTGTGTGTGTATGTTGTAGTGTCTATATTGTGCTGGGTGGGGGTAAGGGAGGGTAGATGGAGAGAGGGGTGCGATGGGGAACGTTGGTTGGCTAAGGTAAGAGAGGGTAGATGGCCATAGAGAGAGGTGTTCGATGGAGAACGTTGGTTGGCTAAGGTAAGAGAGGGTAGATGGAGTTAGGGGTGTGGTGAGGAACGTTGGACGGCTGAAGTTTCAGAAGGTAGGTGGAGAGAGGGTTGTGTTGAGGATCTTTGGTTGGCTGTGGTAAAAGTTGGTTGAGAAAGGGGGGCCGGGTGGGAGTGTTGATCGGCAGGGTAAGAAAGATAGGTGGAGAGAGGGATGCGATGTGGGGTGTAAGAGAGGTCATTGTGGAGAGGGGGTAGGTAGAGGTAGGGGGAGTGCGGAGTTTCTGGTAGCATTGTTAACAAGGGTCGGAGTGGACCTCAGAGTCCTCACTCACAAGCTAGTGTTTAACCTGTCACTTCACGCTGATTCCAGCATCGGCATTGAATGCACCCACAAGCGACGTGAACCCCATTTGCATGACGACAACGGAAACACTGATCGCCCACCCAACTAAGTGCGCCCAGTACTACGACTGCAACACGCCTGCCATGGAAGACTCCTGGGAGCAGAACCTACAGGAATGTCCCTTCCCGCAGTTGTACAACCCTGGAACACAGAGATGTGAGCACTACAGCATGGTCACGTGTGGCAGCAGGACAGAGCCCCTGGGGAAATGTAAGTACCCAGGCTTCCTTATTCTCTAAAGAAAATAGGAGCATAGGCGTACCTTTAACAGAAACAAGAGTTAGCCACTAACATGGCTATATCCCCCGCCCCTGTTGCAGAATTTATGACATAATTAAATCTAAACAAACCCTAACCTTTTATAACCGAGGTGGAATGTTTTGTGGTAGACATAAGCAGGACATCTCCAAGTTTGAAGCAGCAGCGACAACAATGATTTCGGATACAATTCCCTATTTTGACTTTTACCATATTGTTCCTGTGTTTTGTCATTTGAACACTTGTCTTGCCTCTGCATGTGTTTGTGACGTGTGCCACTGGTTGGCAAGGATACGTTCGACTTTTCGGTAACACCTGGTATCATCACTATTTGATAGTGATTCATGATCACATGCTCATGATATAGTCCGAATCGTAAATAAACTTTTGACGGGGATTTCTTATGGATATGGAAAGGATTTTGTCGCTTTTACAATCCTTGATCGAACAACTTTTGAGCAAGTATGATGCTCTTTAAGATCTTTGTATAAAGAGCAAGATCGATTTTACCTCAAAAGTTGTGTAATGTAGACACGACAGGCAGCAGCTGTTGGAACATTACTCGACATAAAGGGAGAGTTGACTATTGGAAAGTTAAGTCACTATCCCTCTTGTCACACTGTCATGTGGATAGCTCTTTGTCACTCCGAATGTTAATGCATAGATCTAATTCTGAAACAGATGAGTCAGTTTCATTGGTCTCTATTATTTCTAGCTCGAGTAGGGAAACAAGTGGCTATTTGACCATTATCAATGATACGCCACAAGTCAAACTTCTTGGCTTATATCCCTTGTTTTGATTTTGCCAATTCGAGCAGAAATTCAGATTCATGCTTAAAGAAACACTTCAGCCAGAAGGGGGCCAGTAGGGGATGCCTACTTCTTGCCTTAACGCCTTACCCGCAACCCATTAATTTCACATATATAATATCAATAAGGAAGTCCAGCATTTCACAAATTGTTTTCACATTAAACTTCAGTTGACATTTGCTTTCATTTGGAACAATTTGTCCCGAACCTCTGAAGACAGATGTAAATATGGTCACCATGTTTAGTAACAAATGCTCCATGGATCAAGGAATGAAGTTTTTCCCTAATTGTACAAAGTTGAAAAACAAATATTTTGTAATAAGTGAACTTGGTTCTTTTCTGAAATTGTAAACATTCAAACAAATCCCTTGGAGTTTTGATAATCCACATGATATTAAGTCAAATAAGTCTTGTCTCAAATACGTTCTGCGAATGTAATGAAAGAAGTCCTTCCTTGATTGTACTTCGGATTGTGGTTAATCTGTGAGATGGAGAATTTGGTGGTACATACTGGACTCAGCAATATATCTCTCTTTGTAGGGATGTTTATGTAGCTTTGGAATCCAGTACAAAAGAGGAATGGAAATGTCTTTAGGTTTTGACATACTGGCCTTATACTAGTACGTGGGATAATGCCATATGTCCCTTATACCAAGTTCTTTCATGAGTCTTTAGTTCCAATTGGACATTATTCATTTTCTTTCAGAGTGAGTGAGTGAGTTGGGTTTAACGCCGCTTTTAACAATATCCCAGTTATATCGCGGCATGTCAGCTTAATGTGGGAGGAAAGCACCGAAGTGATGCAGGTCTCAGACGTTTACCACTTCGGTGAAACCCACGAGCACGGGTATGGTGCTGACAAACCTAGAAACATAATCGGGGCGAACCGGGATTCGAACCCACAATTATAGGTTTCTGGCATGCCCAAAGGGATGCCCAACTCTACACAGCGAATCGCGGCACCTAAGACGACTGGGCCACCCGTGTCCCCTTTTCTTTCAGAACCGTGGACATCAAGGCAATTAGTCAGGCACGCTCTTGTCCCCTTATGTACTGCCTCACAGTGTCATTACAACATAGAATATTCTACATGTTTCTGTACCACTCTATCACAGTTCACTACAGTTTATATAGTAACTTCCTCACAACTGCTTACATTAAATAGTACAACATTCCTGACAACTAATCACTGTCCAAATACAATGCATTGACCTTCTACCCAATCTCAGTAGAAACAATGTAATACAGTTCCATCATCCAAACTACTGTTTTCACATTAGAGGACTGTTAAATGAAATTGATCCTGCAAAATGTGTCATTTGAATACGAACGTTACTTTGAATATTAAAAGGGCTATACATGTTGTTGGTGTGCTTTCGGATTCAAATTACAAATATAGCGGGATCTGAAAAATGTTCATTTCCAGGCGAATATGACCAGCATGCATATCTTGGGGGACCGGACTGTGGGCAACCGTGCCACGTTAACAACCCCACCTGCAGGAACCTCGCCGACGGCCTCAACGTCTACGAATGGCGCCTCAACTCTCCCTACTACGTTGTGTGCGTTAATCAGCGACTGGTCTACACTGGCGTGTGCCACGATTACGGAACGGGAGCACCTATTTTTGACGCCGAATTGCGCGCCTGCAGGTGTTCGTAAAAAATCCGTTGTTTTACAAATCACAATTGCAATGTAAATTAAAACTTTTCTCAACAACGTGTTTACGGATTTTGTTGGAATTACGTCTGCTGCGTACGTGTGCAGAAATCCTGCTGCTGACAAATATAGGGAAATACTTCAGAAACTGTGCAACACTGTAGTAAGGGGCAATCGTAATATCTCGACCCAAACATGGTCCTTTTATAATTTATTGATAAATGCTTCGTTAGTCCAGATTATCTGCCGAAACAGATTCCATTTGGGACGAGTGAGTGAGTGATCGAGCGAGTGAGAGGGTCTGGGTCTGAGTTAGCACACACACTAACATGGACGTATGCACGACCACAGTCATTCTTTCATGAGTTTCATTTGCTCCAAGCAATTAACGATTTTTTCAATAAAATACAGGTGTCTATAGTTTGGAATGAACAGTATATACATGGTTATATACATATGTATGTTTAATGCCACAGTCAGCAATATTCCAGATATTTGACGGCGGACTTTGGCGTGCATTAACCTTGTTCGGCTAATTCTGTCAGACGAAACTTTATTACTTGAAGCAGAAACTATCGTATCCCCTCTCTCCCTGAAAGATAAATGGTCCTACTATTGCGAATTTATATTTCATTGGGATGTTTCTCACATAATGCTCAGAGCGCCCTCAAACCCAATTTACTCATTCACTCAACACAGTACGCATACCATCACTCAACAGTATGTACACGACCTGGCCATTCTATATACAGTAAGGCCTCATCACTCAAGACACCTTTAATCATCGATGATGACTGTAAGGAACATCTGTGACCAAGTGATGATGACTGTAAGGAACATCTGTGACCAAGTGATGATGAATGTAAGGAACATCTGTGACCAAGTGATGATGACCAAGGAACAGCTGTGACCAAGTGATGATGACTGTAAGGAACATCTGTGACCAAGTGATGATGACTGTAAGTAACATCTGTGACCAAGTGATGATGACTGTAAGGAACATCTCTGACCAAGTGATGATGACTGTTAGGAACATTTGTGACCAAATGATGATGACTGTAAGGAACATCTGTGACCAAGTGATGATGACTGTAAGTAACATCTGTGACCAAGTGATGATGACTGTTAGGAACATTTGTGACCAAATGATGATGACTGTAAGGAACATCTCTGACCAAGTGATGATGACTGTTAGGAACATTTGTGACCAAATGATGATGACTATAAGGAACATCTGTGACCAAGTGATGAGGACTGTAAGGAACATCTGTGACCAAGTGATGATGACTGTAAGTAACATCTGTGACCAAGTGATAATGACTGTAAGGAACATCTGTGACCACGTGATGATGACTGTAAGGAACAGCTGGGACCAAGTGATATTACTTTGTACAAGGTGTGCCTGTAGACACATCTGTGAGCCTGTAGCTGTCATCACAGCTTCAACAAGACTGTTACTTTTCTATTCTTTCAGTGCGACGTTTCGCTACAGATGCTGGTAACTTTATCAAACAAGTGTCTGGAACAGGATTGCAACTGTCTAGAACAAGATTGCTACTGTCTAGAACAAGACTGTAACTGTCTAGAACAAGACTGCAACTGTCTAGAACAGGACTGTAACTGTCTAGAACAAGACTGTAACTGTCTGGAACAGGACTGTAACTGTCTAGAACAAGACTGTAACTGTCTAGAACAAGACTGCAACTGTCTAGAACAGGACTGTAACTGTCTAGAACAAGACTAACTGTCTAGAACAAGACTGCAACTGTCTAGAACAAGACTGTAACTGTCTAGAACAGGACTGTAACTGTCTAGAACAGGACTGTAACTGTCTGGAACAAGACTGCAACTGTCTAGAACAAGACTGCAACTGTCTAGAACAAGACTGTAACTGTCTAGAACAAGAATGTAACTGACTGGAACAAGACTGCAACTGTCTAGAACAAGACTGTAACTGACTGCAACTGTCTAGAACAAGACTGCAACTGTCTAGAACAAGACTGTAACTGTCTAGAACCAGACTGTAACTGACTATAACTGTCTAGAACAAGACTGCAACTGTCTAGAACAAGACTGCAACTGTCTAGAACAAGACTGCAACTGTCTAGAACAAGACTGCAACTGTCTAGAACAAGACTGTCACTGTCTAGAACAAGACTGTAACTGTCTAGAACAGGACTGTAACTGTCTAGAACAGGACTGTAACTGTCTAGCACAAGACTGCAACTGTCTAGAACAGGACTGTAACTGTCTAGAACAAGACTGTAACTGTCTAGAACAAGACTGTAACTGTCTAAAACAGGACTGTAACTGTCTAGAACAGGACTGTAACTGTCTAGAACAAGACTGCAACTGTCTAGAACAAGACTGCAACTGTCTAGAACAAGACTGCAACTGTCTAGAACAAGACTGTAACTGTCTAGAACAAGACTGTAACTGACTGGAACAAGACTGCAACTGTCTAGAACAAGACTGTAACTGACTGCAACTGTCTAGAACAAGACTGCAACTGTCTAGAACAAGACTGCAACTGTCTGGAACAAGACTGCAACTGTCTAGACCAAGACTGCACCTGTCTAGACCAAGACTGCAACTGTCGAGACCAAGACATGAGCTCAACTTTTCTATTCTTTCAGTGCGACGTTTCGCTACAGATACCGGTAACTTTATCAAGCTAGTGATAAACCACCAGGACATAAACTGCCAGGCCAATGGACGTTTACACGTGACAATTAGATTTGACCCAAAATAACAAACGTTATGAACACAGTTCAATTGCAAGGTTTAAAACAGTCGCCGAAATACTGCAAAGGTAAATAGACACTATGAGAACCGTGTTATACTTCACCATCGAATAATTATTTCTAGCAACCATCAAACATGTGCGTGTACTTTCCTTTGCCCGGCTGTGTAGTTGTTTAGTTGAGGTTAAATACAACTTTGCCTTGACAAACACAACAGAGACAACAAACAATGATGACAGTGGATGAAGCCAGGGGAAGACATTATTTTTACGTCTTTTTTTCTGGGTTGGCTGGTCCAGAAACTGAGGGACACAAACACTCCCCCTTTAAAAGAAAAGAAGATGTTTACAACAAACGCTGTGATTGTGTCCACAGTTTCCTTCACACGCCTGAACTATATATCAAACCTTACCATATGCACCTTTACTGTTAATCATTACGATAAATGAATAACACACCCTATCCTTAATATATAAATTACAAATTTAAACGGCACGCGAACGCACTACACTCTGACCCAAACTGATTGTTTGTGTTTTCATCCATTCTACAAGAAAAATTAAAGTATTAAGAAAAAGTCTTTATGATAGGTATTATGACACAATGTGGTTCTAAACAAAATAACCGTGTGTTACCGCTTATTCCAAAATATAGACTCTAGTGTTTCATTGAGGAGGTCGATTATTGCTTGCAACAACTAATAACTATGGTGTTTTAAGTCAGTGCTTGATGTTATCATTAGTAGAATGCAAAAACTAAAAAAGGGGTAACAGAATTGTAATAAACTCATTTTGTCCCAGCCAGCTGGCTACATGAAAAGTGTGTAGCCATTTCCACTGACAAGACCTGAAATATTATAACTATAAAAAGTTACCCTCACTACATGATTTGTTGATGAAAGAAATTGGGACAAGTGACATATCAACTAATGCGACAAGCCAGTATGTTTCCTAAGTACTAACATCTTTTGACCTGACTCCAAGATAAGATTGGTTGGTTTGTTTGTTTTTTAACTCCGCACTCATCAATATTCCAGCTATATGACGGCGACCAGACAATCCAGTGATTAATATCATGAGCATCGATCAGCGCAATTGAGATTGATGACATGCATCAACCAAGTCAGTGAGCCTGACCACCTGATCCCGTTAGGGGCCTTACGACAAGCACAGTCGCCTTTTACGGCATGCATGGGTTGCTGAAGACCTATTCTACCCCGGATCTTCACGGGTCTTTCATCTATTGACTGGGCAGACACGCAGACATTTAACTCGTCTTCATAGAGATTTTGATAAGCTCAACGTAGACGCATATAACGGCAGGTGGATGAACACCTTTACGCGTACCAGACGTACACAACGGCTGTCAATTATATCAGCTGTTAACGATACTGATTGTGTCACACTAAGAAATGGTAATGATATAAAAATGAAATGAGACAGGCCCTGTTCAATTTCAATAAAAGACAAACTGTTATGCTGGTAGTGAGAAGCTACTAACTTGATCTGATGGTCAGGCTCTTTGACTCGTTTGATTGCGTGTCCCCCTCCCCAAAATATATATCACTTGATTGTGTGGTTCAAACTCAGTCATTTACATGCTCCTTGCCATGTAGCTGATTATTGGCTGATTGCATCAATAAACAACAAAGAGAAAAATAACTTCATTCCCAAATATAGGTTACAGTGTTTCATTGAGAAGATCGTGAATTACTTAGAACAAATGAAACTCATGATCTGTGATGACTGTGTGCCTTGTGCAGGCAAAACCGTGTCCGTGCGTGCGTCTGTGCGTATCTGTGTCTGTCCATGTATGTACAATAGACTTTACAGCACAGGGAGACCCAATATATCCTTGCACATAAAAAACCCATCTGTTGTTCAGATAAGAATATGCGCATTTTTCTTATCTAATATACAATGACATTTAATCCTATAGTCAAGACACCACAAGCACCTGCACTATATCGGTTATAGCGTTGATAAGGTAAGCTGTGATTTATGTTAATCAGGCTGCATAAAAATAACAAATGGAAGTGGAATTTAAGTTAGATAAAGCATGCCAGTACAAGTATATTCAATAAATATTTACAGTTTTAGCTTCAGTTCTACACGTATTGACAAAATAATAAATGGAAGTGGAATTTAACTTACGCTGACCATTGTCTGAAGAGCTATACAGACAAGACGGGAGACAGCTGTTTTCTTCTTAACCCAAGATAACCGAGTGTGGCCGAATTTGAAGTTTCTGACTGACACACTGAGACATAAGGACATTATGATCATTATGGATACAGGAAGTGATTGGAGTCATATTCAAACTTGTAGACCCGTGAAGATTCCGGGATAGAATAGGTCTTCAGCAACCCATGCTTGCCTTAAAAGGCGACTATGCTTGTAGTAAAAGGCGACTAACGGGATCGGGTGGTCAGGCTCGCTGACTTGGTTGATGCATGTCATCGATCCCAATTGCGTGGATCGATGCTCATGATATTTATCACTGGATTGTCTAGTCCAGACTCGATTATTTACAGACCGCCGTCATATAGCTGGAATATTGCTGAGTGCAGCGTTAAACAACAAACCAACCAACCAAATCAAAATTGTACTTTTAAAACACATTCCAAACGACCATTTACATGTTCTACACAATACGAATTTGTTATTATATTAAAATATACAGATCTAGCTCTGAGTAACACCAATCGTTTTAAAATACAAGTGAAATTTCGTTTTATCCAACCAGATGATCGCATACGACTTAATGCATAAGTTTTCTTGTAGACGATTTGTATCTCTTCTGCAGCCCCATTATGTGTGAGTGTCGAGTGTTGTACTTCCTGATGTTGTTGCTGGTCGCCCTGGAATCATGTGAGCATGATTCAATGTTTTAAAGATGTTGTATTGTGTTGTGCGTGATGTATGTGTTGTGTGGGCATGTTGTGTGTTGCCTCCGTGTGTGTGTAAAGTATATGTGTGTTGTGTTCTTGTATGTCTGTGCCTGTGTTGTGCTATGTTTTTTTGTGGTGTCTATTATGTGATGTGTTTGGTGGTTATGGTATCGGTGTGTAGTGGTCGTGTGTATGTGCTGTGCTTATTTTTGGGGTTTTCTCTTGTACAATGTGATGTATGTTTGGTGTGTGTTGTATGTGTGTTGCAATGTGTGTTTCCTGTGTATAGTATGTGTGTTTGTGTTGTGCTGTCTTTGTGTGTTTACTGTGTGTTTGTTTTCAGTGTAATGTTGGGCAAAGGTTAGGGAGGGTAGGTGGCAAGAATGCGGTGAGGATCGTTTGTCGGCGGAGGTGAGGTGAGGTGAGGTGAGGTGAGGTGATCGTGTAAGAGAGGCTAAGATTCACTGTGCTGTTTAGCGGAAGTAAGAGGTGAGGTGAGGTGAGGTGAGGTGAGGTGAGGTGAGGTGAGGTGGTGAAATGGGGTTTAACGTTGCGTCCAAGATTATTGCACTTATATAGCGACGTGTGTGTGTGTGTGTGTGTGTGTGTGTGTGTGTGTGTGTGTGTGTGTGTGTGTGTGTGTGTGTGTGTGTGTGTGTGGCTGCTTGTACTAGTCCGGACTGATGCCGATTTATAGTGCTAGCCCACTGAGATACCATGCCGCAGTTTAACATGAATACCCCACTCAGAAACAGTACCATCTTTTAACGTCTTTTTGGTATGACGCGGCCACCTTCCACTCTCCGGGCGGACGCTCTACCACTAGACCACGGAGGCGGTCAGTAAGAGGTGAGCAAGGAGAGAGAAGGATGCAGTGTGTTTGGTGGCACGGTAACGAGGGGTGGAGTTGACTTCCCACTTGCAAACTAGTTTCAACCTGCCACTTCACACTGATTCCAGTATCAGCATTGATTGCACCGACAAGCGACGTGAACCCCATTTGCAACACGACGACGGAGACGCTAATACCCCACCCCACAAAGTGTGCCCAGTACTACAATTGTAGCGCCCCAGCCATGAAATTTAACCGCATCATCTTGGGGAAGAACCTACAGGAATGTCCCCACCCGCAGCTGTACAACCCTGGAACACAGAGATGTGAGCACTACAGCATGGTCACGTGAGGCAGCAGAATGGAGCCATGGGAAAATGTGAGTGCCCAGGCTTCCTCTTCGTTTCGATAGAAGCCAAGAACATGAATATACATACCGTATTCGACGTAATAAGCGCCCAGGGCGCTATCAAAATTATAAATATGGGTATTAGAAATACGAGTGCGTATTATACGCGAATAAATAAGTCTTGTGTACATTGATCAATCGGAAGGGGTGTTAATTGGGATTGTTCACTAGCCAATATATTAGCAAATATCGCCGTGGGCGCTTATTAGAGCGGGACGCTTATTACGTCGAATACGGTATATACCTTTTAACAGTTGTTAACTACAGCAATCCTTACTTACTGGCCAATGGCTGAACGCGCTTCACAGTAGTTGCAACATTTTGTCCATACACACAATGATGCGTTGATTCATTTCTATTGGAAAAAGTGAAGACATTTGAGTTGATAATTCACAGATAACAATAATAGATGATTGTTCCTTGTGTTGCCGGGTGCACGGGTGGCCCAGTCGTTCTAAGGCGCCGCGATTCGCTGTGCAGAGTTGCGTCCCTTGGGCACGCCAGAAATATATGATTGTGGGTTCGAATTCCGGTTCGCCCCGATTATGTTTCTAGGTTTGTCAGCACCATACCCATGCTCGTGGGTTTCACCGAAGTGGTAAACGTCTGAGACCTGCACCACTTCGGGCTTTCCTCCCACATTAAGCGGACACGCCGTGATATAACTGGAATACGTCTGTTAAAAGCGGCTTTAAACCCAACTCACTCACTCACTCACTCCTTGTGTTGCCATGCTTTAACACGAACAAAGATGTTATATATGTATATATATATAGACACACACACACACACGAGCATTACGATCGCAGAAATATAGAATGTTGCAATGTACCCTAACTGACTGCTAAGGGGTGATTTCCAAATTAAAATCCAGAGGTTAACCCAGATATTGGTACGTACACAACTTAATTGTGAAGTCAGTATGTGACCACACATGATTAATAACTTATATTGAAACACAGGGTTTGGGGGTTACAGTCAACGAGAAGGCATTCAATACAAAAGGTAAAGAGGGTGACAACAGCAATAAGTAACATGCCGAAGAATTAATGTCAGTTCACCAACAAATGTTGAGAATATGCATGAGTGTTCAGTTGAATGTCTTTAAAGGGTTTGTCAGTTCTTCAGTCCAGAATAATGTTGGACAGTGGCAGGAATTCAGTGTTTCCAAATAGATATCCAAGCTGCAGTTAGCTAGCCTGTCATGTTCACGTACCCAATAAGGACAGACAACTCTAATTCTAGTACTAAACGATTCTGTAAAGCTTCTTTCGCTGCTGTTGACTGCTGTTCAAATCTGGCCACAGCAGCACTTGATATTTTTTATACCAGCAGTTCACTCGTTTGCCGCCAATCCCTACATATATACCAAAACAGCATGCGCCACTAAACATCACAATACAATACACAGAAAAGGCTCCGTATATCCAAGCAACGAGACCCGTGGTAGAATTATAGGTCTTCAGCAACCCATGCTTGCCGTAAAAGGCGACCATGCGTGTCGTAAGAGGCGACTAACGGGATCGGGTGGTCAGGCTCGCTGATTTGGTTGATGCATGTCATCGATCCCAATTGCGTGGATCGATGCTCATGATATCAATCACTGGATTGTGTAGTCCAGATTCGATTATTTACAGACCGCCGTCATATAGCTGGATTATTGCTGAGTGTGGCGTTAAACAACAAACCAACCAAATCAAATTAGAGAACTGATTTTTTAAACTTGATCCCGCTATTTCTTTCATTTGAAACCAAACGGACACGCACTTGTTGTTAGTCAGTGTTCGGTTTCAAATGACAACTTTAGGTGGATCTGTGGTATGTCTGTTTCCAGGCGAGTATGCCCGGTACGCGTGTTTCGGGTCAGTCAACTGTGGACCACCGTGTTTCGTCAACAACCCAACCTGCAGGTTCCTTCCTGACGGCCTCAACGCCTACGAAAACCGCCCTGGCTCTTCTTTCTACGTTGTGTGCGTTAATCAGCGACTGGTCTACACTGGCCAATGCCACGATAACGGAACGGGGACACCTGTCTTTGACGTTAACTTGCGTGCCTGCAGGTGTTCATAAAATATATGTTATTTTTAAAATCACAATGTCAACTGAAATTAAAGAGTATATCAACAATGTATGCATTTGTCGGCACCTATATATCCCCATAGGGCAAATATATCATCAGGGGTAACTGCGTTTACAAGACTAAACCTACCCCCTTGGCCGTAAGGTGGAGCAATCTACATGGCAGTTTATACATATACACATATATATATATACAAATAACTTCAAGGGCAGACAATACCCAGTCTCGATTATATGACAAAACAGATTCCATTCGGTGTGAAAGGCAAAATAGCGGTGACGATGATATGAATGAAACACAGAAAATAAGTGTTTGTTTGTTGTTTAACGCCGCACTCAGCAATATTCCAGCTATATGACGGCGGTCTGTAAATAATCGAGTCTGGACCAGACAATCAAGTGATTGACATCATGAGCATCGATCCACGCAATTGGGATCGATAACATCCATCAACCAATTCAGTGAGTCTGACCACAGTTAGTGGCCTTACGACAAGCATAGTCGCCTTTCATGGCAAGCATGGGTTGCCTGAGACCTATTCTGCCCCGGATCTTCACGGGCCAGAAAATAAGTGATGACACCAGGTATTCGCGAGAAGGGAAATCACATTCTGCTGCACAGGTAGCACCAGCATCAACAATTTGCATAAAAAGTAGGTGTCTGTTGTCTGAAGCCGCACAACAGTACTCCTGCCTCTTCCGCATCATTTTTCTTGTTCCCCCCTAAAAAAATCAGAGATGAAATTAGTAAATCATTGGACTATTTCCCTAACATGTACATGGTCTGGGTTAAATTAACGTAAGTGGGCATCTTCCACGTGTATACTGAATCGTCAGAGCCTCAGGATCGCCCGATCCATTGTCAATAGCTGTGCTTGTCATCCACACGAAAACATAATTCTTTGATTCATAGGGCATTTGTTACTAAACGCGGTGGCTATTGATATAGTTATATCTCTATCGTTAGAGGTTCGGGAGAATTTGTGGAATATAAAAGAAAATGTTATCTGACGTACATTGAGAAAACAACATATGATGTCTTTGATAACATCTATGTAAAATTTGGTAGGCATCCCCATGGGCACCAATTGTGCTCCCCATCTTGCTCATCTGTTTCTTTATACACATGAAGAGGAAGGTCTGCTCAGATTGTGAAAAGGGAATTTGGCCAAGAAGTTGAACTTAAGCATCAGGTATATTAGTGGTCTAAAATCGTTCAATAATGGTGAAATAGCCATTTCCCTTCCACAGATGTACCCACCTGAGCTAGAAATAAAAGCAGACGAGTGATACTGCCTAATCTTTTTCATCTTTAGATCAACGCATAGAGATTCAGTTTGACAAAACACCATCCACAATACTTTATGATAAGAGGGATGTCAAGAGGGATGTCAAGAGGGATAAAACACTTACCATCAGGTTTCTATGAGATTTAAAACCCTCAACCTTAGGATAAAACCTCGGGGCCGACGCCATTTGGTTTTTATCCCTTGGATTCCGGTTTTGAAACTCCCCAAACACTCCGACGTGTTTTATACTACATTTAAAGATTCAGGGTGACAAAAAACTCCTCCACAAGACTGAATGACAAGAGGGATGGCTTGAACTTTCCAATAGTCAGCCTTCACTGTTTACATTTCAGTACTTTTGAGGTACATTCGAGCATGTTCTTTCTGTGAATATTTCAAAGAGCGTCATGCCATTCTTTCTCATAAGTGGTTTAATCAATGTTACAACATACAAGACCTCAGCAAAGCTTTCAAAGCAAAGTTGTATGGTAGACATGTGGAGGACATTTCCAAATTTGACCCATCAGTGACAAAAATAGTGATGATGCCAGGTGAGTGTTATCCCGCCCTACCAGTGGCACCCATGACAAATACAGGTAAAGGTAAATTGTTCACCTGAAAAAACACAGGAACATTTGGAACAAGTCAAAACAGGGAATTGCATTCGACATTTATGTCAGTGATACCTTGACAACCACCACGTATGCACACTTCATGAGACCTGGATCAACACCTTAACGCGTTCCATCCACATTTACGGCTCTCGACTTAAGAAGCTTGCGTGCGTTCGTGCCTGGGTGTGTCCTTGAGTGTATGTACAACAGGCGCTTCACAAAACGCGAACAGTTAATGAATCCTTGCACTTGAAAAAACATATCTGTTCAGATAACCACTTGTGCATTTCCCATATCTAAATATACACAGACATTTAAATCCTATAGTGAAGTGGTAGACAAATGACGCTTCACGTCAACTGAAGAATAGCGACTTTTAATGCGCAACATTCATTCCATATTCCACACTGATAACGCCTGTTTGTTACAGGGACAGCGTATGCTGCACTCAAGACGCCTGAAGCGTAACTACAACAAGCACCTGCCCGTGAACAGGTCCAGCTCTGTGAAGGTAAGCTTACATTCATTTTAATTATAATGCTGCATAAAGATAATAAATTATTTCTTCATTCTTTTTACTGAACACAAAAGTGAGAGGGACGCTGTTGATTATTTTCCTTCCCAGAATACCAACAAACATAACTGGGCACACACTGAATCTGGATCCTTAAAATATACGAAACTCGTTTGTGTTCTATTTATAGTCAACAGAGCCAACTTGAGGTGACGAGCCAATACCGAAGAAACATTTCCGTCACTTTTAGCCGTATTAAAGCTGTACTTTTGTAGTTTGGAGTAATCGTGAGATACCTCTTTTAATCTAACTATTAGTGGAATATTAGTTAGATAAAACATACCAGTATAATTATATTTAATAAATATGTTGTATTCACCGTTTTAACTTCAGTTCTACAAGCCATACAAATTCCATATGGCTGACCTTTATCTGTAGGACTATACAGGCAAGACCATAGACAGGTGCTGCCGAATTTGAAGTAGCTGACTTACAAACTAGGACATAAAGATATTATGGATACAAGAAGTGATTGGAGTCATATCCAAACTTGTACTTTTAAAACACATTCCAAACAGTCATTTACATGTCATTCAAAATATCAATATTTCTCATATTAAAATATCTGAATCGCTCTTTAAGTCACACCAACCTGTTTAACACACAACACCCGAAATTTCGTTTACTGATCAGCTCCAACATGTTAATGCATCAGCTTTCTTGTAGACGGTTTGGATCTCATCAACAGCCCCATGATGTGTGAGTGTCGAGTGTTGTGCTTGCTGATGGTGCTGCTGGCCGCCCTGGAATCATGTGAGCAGGCTTCTCTTTTTAATTTGTTGCGTTATATTATGTGTGTGATGTATGTCTGTGTGTCTTTCGTTATGTTTGTGTATAGTGTGTGTGTTGTGTTCTGGTGTGTTGTGATCCGTTTTTATGTGTTCTCTGTTGTGTGATGTTGGTTTTATGTGAGTGTTACATTGTGTGTTTGTTGTGTGTAGTATGCTTTGTTTTCATGCGTGTATGTTGTACTGTTCGTTTTGTATACCGTCAGTGTTGTGCTGGGTGGAGGTAAGGGAGATATTGAGGATCGCTAGTCTGCGGAGGTAAGTGAGTGACTGATCATGACTGACTGTGATTTCACATCGCCTTCAGTAATATTCCAGTAATATCAGGGCGGGGGACTCGAGCCCGGGCCTTCAGTGTGAAGAGCGAATGCTTTAACTACTGGGCTACCCCTGCAAAAGGGTAGGTTGAGAGATGGATTTGGTGAGGAGAGGTGGTCGGTGGAGGTGAGAGAATAGGTGGATGTGATGTGCAGTGTAAGAGAGGTTAGAGTGTTGATGGGGTAGATTAAGAACGTTGTTCCCCAGAGGTGGGTGCAGAGTGTTTGGCGTCACTAGTAACAAGGGATAAAGTGGACCTAAGAGTCTTCACTCGCAAACAAGTATTTAACCTGTCACTTCACACTGATTCCAGCATCAGCTTTGATTTCACCCACAAGCAACGTCGACGTGAACCCCATTTGTAAGACAACGACGGAGACACTGATCCCCCACCCAACTGAGTGTGCCCAGTACTACAACTGTAGCGCACCGGGCCTGAAAATGCAGGGTTACACCTTAGGACAGAACCAACAGGAATGTCCCTTCCCGGAGCTGTACAACCCTGATACACAGAGATGTGAGCACTACAGCATGGTCACGTGTGGCAGCAGAAGAGAGCCTCTGGGGAGGTGTAAGTATTCTTGGCCAGTACCCAGGTGTCGTGTTCACATGTTAGCACATGAGAATAATACAGTGCGATATGTATTTTAGCGGTATGCTTGGTGTAATGAGGCACGAGAGTTATGCCCCTTGGGTCAGGGAAGCGAGGGAATAACATTAAGCATGGCGCACGCCACTAGGTCGTCAATCGTTTATTATACCCCGCCCAACGAAGTAGATATAGTAGCGGGGGATATAGATGACTTTGTCGACTAAACACTTGTCATCCAGTGTGACACAGCCCATCGGCTGCTTGAAACATTACATCTGGGTTCCCTCTTCTCGATAGAAACAAAGAGCATGGACATATATACCTTCAACATTCAACTACAGTAACTGGCCAATTTGCCGCAAATGGCTGAAAGTATTTATATCACAGGAATGCAATAGGTTTTTCCTCACATACACCAGGCTAGCGTACATTTAAACGAAATGAAAGTGCACACGTTTGATCATATCATATACTCAACAACAAAAGTTCCTGTGACACCAATATTTTAGTGTATTTTTCAAACAAGTGAAGCTTGGTTTTCAATATTGTAGGACGTGTATGGAATCAAGCCACTAAAACGCAACTGCTACATTAAAGCACGCATTCCATGCAAAAGATGTCTTTTATGCAAGCCCCATGTATTTCACTACTCAAGAATGGGTATAAAAACATGTGCGTTAACGGGATTTCCATGTGCATTGTTTAGGATCGTGCTGACAACAACCACTCAGAAAAACAACAAAATTATGCAATTATTCAACATTACGAAATGCCACGCCTGTCCGACAATGAGCGTCTGCGAGCCATTGGTATGCTTGAAGCAGGATCGAGTCAACGTAATGTTGCAAGACAATTTAACGTCCACAGAAAAACCATTTGGTGTTTATGGCAACGTTGGCAACATACGAATGCAGTCAGAGACCATCCTAGAAGTGGCAGGCCACGTGTAACCAATAATGGACAAGACAACTGGATTCGAACAGCACACCTACAAAATTCCAGCCAGCAACAGTGACTTCAAGAAGCATCCCTGGCCTTCGACGAATATCTTCACAAACCATACGTCGCCGCCTCAGATGTGCAGGGATTGTCGCCAGAAGACCCGCCAGACGTCCCAATTTGACAGGAAACCACCGTCAAGCACGTCTACAGTGGTGCAGACAGCGTCTACGCTGGACGGCCATGCAGTGGGGACAAGTTATATTCACTGACGAGTCTTGTTTTCACCTCAGCCACAGCGATGGACGGATTCGAGTGTACCGACGTCGAGGTGAACGTGAAGGTGAATCATTGTGTCATGGAAGAAGATCGGTTCGGGCGGCAGCGTTTTGGTATGGGATGGGATTACAGCAAGACAGAGGACCAGTTTGATAGTGGTAAAGGGAAATCTCAATGGACAGCGCCACCGTGACGAGATCATCGGCCCTGTTGTTCTACCGTTTTTGCGTCGTCATGTCCCAGGCATTACCTTTCAACATGACAGCGCCTAGCCTCATATTGCTCGACTTGTTCAGGATTCCGTTCAACAAAACATCGTGAATGGCCTTATGACGCCATACAGGATTCTCCGTAATTCCTTTACAAAAGCATGTTGCTGAATTCTGTTGACACGTACCTGTTTCGGATCCGATGATCATGCTGGCCATGGGCAGACAGACAGACAGTGTATTCATATATGTGGCCAAAAGAACAATAACCCATGCTTGCTGTAAAAGGCGACTTGTCGTAAGAGGCGACAGGCTCACTGACTTGTTTGATGCATGTCATCGATCTCAATTGCGTGGATCGATGCTAATGATGTCAATCAGTGGATTATCTGGTCAAGAATCGATTTCTTTACAGACCACCGTCATATAGCTGGAATATTGCTGGATGCGGCGTTAAAAAACAACCAACCAAAGAAACAAAAAGTTCTGTACTGGCCATGGAACTGTTGTTGTTGTTTCGGTGATTGATCTTTAATCTTTAACAAATTTACAGGTGTTCAGGCAACGAGGCGAATTTAAAACGAGGCGAGGTAGTGATAGAGAATGCGTGTTGTGTGGGGGCATTGCGTTCTGTTCCAGATTTGTTCCCTGGGACCGTCCACTTGATCTCTCTTTGTAGGGATGTTTATGTAGCTTTGGAATCCAGAGGAATGGAAATGTCTTTAGGTTTTAACATACTGGCCTTAAACTAGTACGTGGTATAATGTTGTATGTCACTTATACCAAGTTCTTTTATGCGTCTTTAGTTCCAATTGGACATTTTTCATTTTCTTTCAGAACCGTGGACATCGAGGCAAATAATTAGGCACGCTCTTGTCCCCTTATGTATGGTCAAACCAGCTACTGGAAATTCCCACAGTGTCATCACAACATAGAATATTCTACATGTTTCTGTAACACTCTATCACAGTTCCCTACAGTTTACACAGCACACCAGCATATAAATATAGTAACTTCCTCACAACTGCTTGCATTAAAAAGTACAACATTCCTGACAACTTATCACTGTCCAAATACAATGCATTGATCCCCTACCCAATCTCAATAGAAACAATGTAATACAGTTCCATCATCCAAACTACTGTTTTCCAAAGTAGAGGACTGTTAAATGAAATTAATCCTGCAAAATTTGTCATTTGAATACTAACGTTGCTTTGAATATTAAGAGGGTCATACAATGTTGTTGGTGTGCTTTCGGATTCAAATTACAAATGTAGCGGCATCTGAAATATGTTTGTTTCCAGGCGAATATGAGAAGGGCAAATGCCATGAGGGAATGCGCTGTTGGATACCATGCTCCGTTAACTACCCCACCTGCAGGAACCTCTCCGACGGCCCCAACGTCTACGAAGATCGCCTCAACTCTACCTACTACGTGGTGTGCGTTAATCAACGACTGGTCTACATTGGCCAGTGCCACTATTTCGGAATGGGGATGCCTATGTTTGACCCCAAATTGCGCGCCTGCAGGTGTTCGTAAAAAATCCGTTGCTTTACAAATCACAATTGCAATGTGAAGTAAAGAATTTCTCAACAATACATGTATCTGTCTGCATGTTTTTAACCCCGGGGTATCCTTACACAAATGTACCCCCAGAGGAAATTGCGTTCACAAGACTCAACCTACCCACTCGATGGCAACTTGCCAATGCCATGAGATGGGGCAAATAATACCAACCCCCCACCCCCCTCTCCATTTGGGACCATTGGGGCCTGGAATTTGTGTTTGGAGTTCAGATAATAATTATGTCGAAACTTTGACCAGACAATCCAATACATAGCATGTTTATGGATTATTTTGGAATTACGTCTGTTGCGTACATGTGCAGAAATCCTGCTGCTGACAAATATAGGGAAATACTTCAGAAACTGTGCAACACACTAGTAAGGGGCAGTCGTAATGTCTCCACCCAAACATGGTCCTTTTAAAAATAATTGATGAATGCTTCGTTAGTCAAGATTATCTGCCGAAACAGATTCCATTTGAACGAGTGAGTGAGCGAGCGAGCGAGTGAATGAGTGAATCTGGGTCTACGTTATGACACACACTAACATGGACGTATGCACGACCACAGTCATTTTTTCATGAGTTTCATTTGTTCCAAGCAATTAACGATTTTCTCAATAAAATACAGGAGTCTATAGTTTGGAATGAACAGTATATACATGTTTATATACATATGTATGTTTAATACCACAGTCAGCAATATTCCAGATATTTGAGGGTGACTTTGGCGTGCATTAAAATTGCTCAGCTCATTCTTTCAGACGAAACTTTATGACTTTAAGCAGAAACGTTTGTGTCCCCTCCCTCCCCTAATGCTAAATGGTCCTACTAATGCGAATTTATATTTCATAGGGATTTTTCTGATACAACGTGGAAACATGGTATTTTAAAAGATTTGCATGAATTTGGATTGAGGGGCAGATTATCTCAATTCATATTGCAATTTTTAAACAACAGACAATTTCAAGTACTACTTTGGATCTACCCTGTCTGATCATTTCGATCAAGATCAGAGCGTCCCTCAAGGCAGCATACTATCAGTCACCCTTTTCAGCATCAAAATTAGTAGTCTCACTAAAGTATTAAACAATAGCCTTGATGGTTCACTTTTTGTGGACGATTTCAACATTTCTTGTCGTGGTAAGAATATGAATACAATAGAAAGACAACTACAGCTCTGTCTTAACAAAATTCAAAAATGGGCAAACGAAAACGGCTTCAAATTTTCTAAATCCAAAACAAACTGTATTCACTTTTGTCGTAAATACAAACCTCACAAGGATTCAGATGTATTTTTAGATGGTACTCCTATCAAGGTATCATTAAATATCTAAAGGCAAAGTCGTTTTAAATTCCGAGTGGGGCGGCGATCAGACCACCCTCCTTCACTTGTACAGATCGTTAATACGCTCCAAACTAGACTATGGTTCCATTGTCTATGGTGGAGCCTGCAAAAGCAATTTAGAAAAATTGGACACTCTACACCATCAAGGCCTAAGATTCTGTCTTGGAGCTTTTAGGACCTCTCCCGTGGACAGTTTGTATGTGGAGGCAGATGAACCTTCACTCGAACTGCGCCGCATTAAACTTTCACTGCAATATATCACTAAACTGTACTCAAATAAATGTAATCCAGCATACAACTGTTTTCCACCCTGAATATGAAAACCTGTTTCAAAATCTATTAAACCTGGTCCCACCATTTGGGATCAGAATTCAACCACACATCACTGCATGATGTAAATTGTAATAATCTCAACTTGCAGTTAAATGTAATAACTTTTTACGTAAATTGTAATAATCTTATAAGTTTAGTGTCAAGGGCGTTAAATGACTAAAACCTATCCTTGTCAGGGTTGGTACAGGGTTTATCGTACAATCGTTATTAAAGTATGGGTGTGGGGGAGGATTGAGGTCGTTATCGTACATTGTTGTATAATTATATGTATATATAAACGCATTGGAATTTCATTTCTATGGTTGTCCAGAAGAGGATTAATTACTAGAATGTACTTAGTTTTCTTATATATTTGAGAAATACTCTGTGTGTTTTGTACTCAATTGTAATATATCCTATTGACGATTTTCATCATAATTGTTCATATTTAAACTAATGGAATCATGTTTCAATTGGTAAAGTAGGTAGTAATATACACAATAGAATATTTATAATGTAACAAAGTTACACAAATAAACTGACGTCAAAAAGAAACTTTAGCAACTGAAAATATAAATTTCAGACAAAGTATAATTTTGTTTTCGATGTAGTCTATCTAAAACACATAACCTAAATACAGCAATAGTGTATGCAGAAAATGTTAATAGTCTGTTACATGTTTGCGAGATAACACGCGAAAAAGTGAAAAACACGTGCACCACGGACAACTGCAAATGCATGTGCGGGTAAGGGTATATAAAACGATTGCAAAGGCAAGTCAGACATCCACAGTGATAAAAAACACAAAAGAAATGCCACGACTCACAGTCGAACAACGTGAACGAGCCTTGGGTATGGTTACAGATGGGAGCCACCCACGCCCATATTGCACGAACCTTCGGTTGCTCCCGTGTTGCCGTTACCAACTTGATGCAACGTTACAGACAGACAGGGCGGACCGCTGACAGGCCAAGAACAGGCAGACCCAGGGTGACCACGCCCCATGATGACCGGTACTTGCGTACCTTGCACCTCCGAAATCGCTTCCTGACAGTAACGTCATCGGCGACAAATGCCTTAGGTCACAGGGTTAGTCGACAGACAGTGGCCAGCAGACTCTGGGCTCATGGAATCAGGGCTTTTAGACCAAACAGAGGACAGCTATTGACAGCGCAACATCGTCGTCTGCGATTGAGATGGACCCGGACTGTACGACGTTGGCAACGACGTGACTGGCAGAGGGTTGTCTTCACTGACGAAAGTCGATTCTGTATGTTTAGGGCTGATGGAAGACAACGTGTTTACCGCCGAGGGGTGAACGAACGGCGGCGTGTTGCGTGCAGGAGGTCGTACCATATGATGGAGGGAGTGTCATGGTGTGGGGAGGGATCTGTGGGCAGGAGAGGACACCGCTGGTCATCGTTGACTGAAACTTAACAGCTCAGCGTTACATGGATAACATTCTTCGTCCAGTTGTCCTACCATTTCTCCAACAGCAGCCACGTGGTGTCATTTTTCAGCATGACAACGCTAGAGCCCATACAGCCAGAATTGTCACTAACTTCCTCGCAGCCAACAACGTCAACCTCCTGCCGTGGCCTGCACGCTCACCCGACATGTCCCCCATAGAACACGTCTGGGACTTGATGGATCGTCGTGTTCGACAACGACCCTTACTCTCCAGCCAACCGGCAAGAACTGATCTTGGCTCTCCAAGAAGAATGGCGTCAAATCCCACGAGACCTCATCAGACGACTGACTTTTTCTGTGTGTCGAAGAGTTTTTGCGTATATTGAGGCATTTGGTGGTCACACACGCTACTAATGACTTGTTATTGAACGTGAGCGATTGTTTATGTACTCTGCCTATTGTCCATGATTCTGAAAGCTCGAGTTTTGTACCACACCCAACTTTGGGGGGCTCTGACGTCATTCTCGGTCGCGGTATGATTGTCATTTTCAGTGTTGATTATGTTGATATATTGATACACTTTACTTCATGCATGTATGTTGTGTTGTTTTTGAGCAATTTGAGTGATTTCAAACTCTGGTAAAGTTTCTTTTGGACGTCAGTTTATATTATAATACAGAGGCTGTGTTTCATATTTGCAACACGTTTATTTGTTTGTTTGTTGTTTATCGCCGCTCTCAGCAATATTCCAGCTATGTGACGGCGGTCTGTAAGTGATCGAATCTAGTCAACAGCACATATCACTGTCGGATTCATCTCACGAGAAGACTGATGTGTTTATTCAATGTAAATATACAGTAGTCACTGAAACTGGAACAGTGAGTGAGTGAGTTGGGTTTAACGCCACTTTTAACAGTATTCCAGTCATATCACGGCGCGTCAGCTTAATGTTGGAGGAAAGCCCGAAGTGATGCAGGTCTCAGACGTTTACCACTTCGGTGAAACCCACGAGCACGGGTGGGGGTGTTTGTTTGTTTGTGTATTTGTTGTTTAACGCCGCACTCAGCAATATATATGATATATGACGGCGGTCTGTAAATAATCGAAACTGGACCAGACAATCCAGTGATTAAAACCATGAGCATCGATCCACGCAATTGGGATATGATGACATGCATCAACCAAGTCAGCGAGCCTGACCACCCGATCCCGTTGGTCGCCTAAAACGACAAGCATAGTCACCTTTAACGGCAAGCATGGGTTGCTGAATATCTATTCTACCCCGGACCATCACGAGTACCGACATGTTTCAATCCGATATTGTAAAAAAAAGTTAAAACAAACTGAAAACAAACCCTGCTGTTAGATTGATGTTACCTTGAGCTGTGTCACGTGATTTGTCACAGACTCGTTTAAACGTCGTAGGAGGCTTCAAGAGATTAATTGTCACATTCAGAAATTCACGTGCAAACTTTTTTCTCCTTGACGGGGTATATGGCATTTATTATCCCACTCAGGAAGTTATTTTCACCCCAGGCGGAATACGTGGTATAATTATCAAGATCACGTGAACCAATCAGATCTCAACATTCATTTATGACATTTATATCCTCTTCTATTTGAAGATTTTGACAAACAGCACTTTATGACAGCTTAAGAATAGTTACTTTAATGCGCAAAAGTCATTTTATATTCTGCCTGCTCTGATAACGGCTGACATTTCCAGAAACTGCCTGTGCTACGTTTAAGAAGCGTGACGCGTATCTCATCACTACCACCAGCAGTGGTCCTGTATCAGACGCAGCCCTGTCAAGGTAAGTTCATACTCATTTTATTTATCATCCAAAACTGGCTCCCACAGGAGATATTGCTTGGATGAGATCAAGCGATATCTACACTGTAGATATCGCTGCAATGAAATTACATCACAATGCTTTGCAGACCATTCTGACGTCACTGTTACCA